ACATTAAGCATATTTACATCATGGTATACATGTATCACACATTCAGCATATTTACATCATGGTATACATGTATCACACATTCAACATATTTACGTCATGGTATACACGTATCACACATTCAACATATTTACATCATGTATACATGCATCACAATTTCAACATATTTACATCATGGTATACATGTATCACACATTCAACATATTTACATCATGGTACACATGTATCACACATTCAACATATTTACATCATGGTATACATGTATCACACATTCAACATATTTACATCATGGTACACATGTATCACACATTCAGCATATTAACATCATGGTATACATGTATCACACATTCAACATCTTTACATGATGGTATACACGTATCACACATTCAACATATTTACATCATGGTATACATGTATCACACATTCAGCATATTTACATCATGGTATACATGTATCACACATTCAACATATTTACATCATGGTACACATGTATCACACATTCAACATATTTACATATTGGTATACATGTATCACACATTCAGCATATTTACATCATGGTATACATGTATCACACATTCAGCATATTTACACCATGGTATACATGTATCACACATTCAACATATTTACATCATGGTGTACATGTATCACACATTCAACATATTTACATCATGGTATACATGTATCACACTTTCAACATATTTACATCATGGTATACATGTATCACACATACAACATATATATGTTACAGGGAATATGTCAAATCAATAAATGTGTATAATCCCTGAAAATTTGAGGGAATCGTTCACGAAGGGAATATACATAATCCCTAATTTTTTCTGGTGTTATACATATTCCCAGATTTAACAACAAGCTTTTTAGACCCTATACCCTGAAAATCTATTTCATTCATGGATGTTAGAGGAATTATTCTCTCTAGTATCAATATAACATTCTTAAAGAGATTATTAAAAAGAAAAGTTTTGTGAAAAACATATGTACATGTTTGCCGCCTGGTTCATGAAACAATTAGTCAACACTGTAATCAAAACCAGGTTAGTATGGGCGTGACCGTCTACTGAATACTGAACGAGAGAGCACTTATTGTTGTTGTAACATCAAATGGCCATTAGAAGTATTAATTATAGTGTAAATATAACAAATGTTAAATGAATTTACTGGGTATAATGAAATATAAACAACCCATACGCGTGACTGTGCCGATATTCAAGGTATAACGTTGCTGACACCATGTACTCCCTCAGATTTTCGAAATGGAATTTGAGGCTAGTTTCCGAAAGAACCTGTACATGCACTTTGATGAGAACACTATGATGGGGATGATTTGAAGATTTTACGTGCGCTTTGCGACATGCGTGTTTCGCACATGGTTATATAATAGTTTGGTTTGTTTGAATGTAACTATTTCGCAATTACTGGATGTAAAATGGTTTTATATATAATTGTTTATTAGTAAAGTAAGAATAAAAGTAATATATAATTCATAGAAAGGTTAGTAAAAATAATGAAGGTTGGTGGCAGCATTCAAAGATTTGGGGTTTTAAGCTATGTCAATTATATTGGTATTTGGTTAGATTTGTCTTTTTTCATATGAATTTCATTCATCTGACAGGTTATGTAGTAATAGATATGGTAAAGAATAAAGCTGGATCATCGAGTATTGTCTCATTCTGGTACCAGGAGGAAACTTGTTTATCACCTGACCCTAATTCTGAACTTCTCATTGGTTAACTTCAAAACTAAGATAGTCCCCGTGCACAAATCTAACCAGCTGAGCACAGCATAACAGATCCCAGCAGAGCACAGGCACATAACAGGCAACAACACGTTACGTGGCAGCAGGATTATTATCTTCAGTTTTTGTGAGTCACCACGTGTGATCATATGGATCACTACCCGACAGCAAGGCATGACTCTCCTTGGCGTCCTTCAGCAGCTGTAACAAATACATCATTATATACAGGTGTCACACATTCAACATGAATACATCATTATATACAGGTGTCACACATTCAACATGAATACATCATTATATACAGGTATCACACATTCAACATGAATACATCATTATATACAGGTATCACACATTCAACATGAATACATCATGCTCAGCGGGTATCACACATTCAACATGTATACATCATTAAATACAGGTATCACACATTCAACATGTATACATCATGCTCAACGGGTATCACACATTTAACATGTATACATCATTATCTATAGGTATCACACATTTAACATGTATACATCATTATATACAGGTATCACACATTCAACATGTATACATCATTATATACAGGTATCACACATTCAACATGTATACATCATTATATACATGTATCACACATTCAACATGTATACATCATTATATACAGGTGTCGCACATTCAACATGTATACATCATTAAAAACAGGTATCACACATTCAACATGTAAACATCATGCTCAACGGGTATCACACATTTAACATGTATACATCATTATATACAGGTATCACACATTCAACATGTATACATCATTATATACAGGTATCACACATTCAACATGTATAACTCATTATATACACCACTTCACACAAACAACATGGTATAAGCATTGCAGTGTACAACTATCCGACATTCAACATGTTGTGTATTTCATGATATACATGTAACATTTTCTGGTACACAGGGCCCTGTTTCACAAAGCGACCGGTTGCATGTGTACACATGTGTCAGGATCTTTGATGTCTCAAACAGACTGCTCTTATGGACGTGACACCAGCCCTCAACCTTGTGTAGCATGTGTTACATATTCCAAACAAACATATCGTACGCGGAGGCATGTGCACATTCATCTCGAGTTATTCGCTGATATAAAATAAATTGGATTATGCAAATAATGTCTCAACACATTGTCATATTTTTAAGCGGTTCATTTTCGGAAAATCTCGAGGGGATTTTTATAAATATCCTTTCGGTTTCTACTTGTGTTTGTTATTATTCATACAAACATTTCGCTGGAATGCAGTGAGATCAGGTTGGTACATGGGACATTCATAATCCTTTCGACAGGTGTTGGTGCGTCACATGCAGGGCTTTATGGACAAATGATTGTAAGTTTTCAATAATAGACTTCTTTTGTGGAGACATAAGATTTACGAACGACTGTAAAGAACATTGTGCGATATGCTTTACAGGGAGATACTGTTCTCTAAGACTATTATAAACTCGATCAATCATAAAACTCATCCTCTAGCAAATGTAAATCATATAGGGCACATAAGAATTTCATATGCCTTACGAGTATACACAGATCGAAACACAATCTTATATGACACAGACCGAAACACAAACTTATACGACGCAGACCGAAACACAATCTTATATGACACAGACCGAAACACAATCTTATACGACGCAGACCGAAACACAATCTTATACGACACAGACCGAAACACAATCTTATACGACACAGACCAAAACACAAACTTATACGACGCAGACCGAAACACAATCTTATATGACACAGACCGAAACACAATCTTACATAAAACAGACCGAAACACAATCTTACATGAAACAGACCGAAACACAATCTTATATGACGCAGACCAAAACACAATCTTATATGAAACAGACCGAAACACAATCTGATATGAAACAGACCGAAACACAATCTTACATGAAACAGACCGAAACACAATCTTATATGACACAGACCGAAACACAATCTTACATGAAACAGACCGAAACACAATCTTATATGACACAGACCGAAACACAATCTTACATGAAACAGACCGAAACACAATCTTATATGACACAGACCGAAACACAATCTTATATGACACAGACCGAAACACAATCTTATATGACACAGACCGAAACACAATCTTATATGACACAGACCGAAACACAATCTTATATGACACAGACCGAAACACAATCTTATATGACACAGACCGAAACACAATCTTATATGACACAGACCGAAACACAATCTTATATGAAACAGACCGAAACACAATCTTACATGAAACAGACCGAAACACAATCTTATATGACACAGACCGAAACACAATCTTACATGAAACAGACCGAAACACAATCTTATATGACACAGACCGAAACACAATCTTATATGACACAGACCGAAACACAATCTTATATGACACAGACCGAAACACAATCTTATATGACACAGACCGAAACACAATCTTATATGACACAGACCGAAACACAATCTTATATGACGCAGACCGAAACACAATCTTATATGACACAGACCGAAACACAATCTTATATGACGCAGACCGAAACACAATCTTATATGACGCAGACCGAAACACAACCTTATATGACACAGACCGAAACACAATCTTATATGACGCAGACCGAAACACAATCTTATATGACACAGACCGAAACACAATCTTATATGACACAGACCGAAACACAATCTTATATGACGCAGACCGAAACACAATCTTATATGACGCAGACCGAAACACAATCTTATATGACGCAGACCGAAACACAATCTTATATGACGCAGACCGAAACACAATCTTATATGACGCAGACCGAAACACAACCTTATATGACGCAGACCGAAACACAACCTTATATGACGCAGACCGAAACACAATCTTATATGACGCAGACCGAAACACAATCTTATATGACGCAGACCGAAACACAATCTTATATGACGCAGACCAAAACACAATCTTATATGACGCAGACCGAAACACAAAATATATATGCTTGTGGCTATGTGGCCTACAGTTCAAATGTTCACACATTGTTTTATTTACATGGACGTGTAACAAAATATACTCCTACTGGCTTCCTGGGTACATAGACCCACACAGGTTACAAGTGCGGACATTAATAATTACAATCGATCGCATATAGCATGTTCACTATTATTTCAAAAGGTTGGTCTCGACATAACTGGTGAATGATTTCACTGTAACTGTCATTTCGTCTTTTCCAGACGTGAAGTTGTACGACGACTGTCAGAACCCGTTGTATGTGGTCAGGAACGCTCTTGATGTGCTCAGTCCGTCCCTCACAGGAATCACTAACTGTACCCAGAACGATTCTTCCATCCACCTCGGTAAGTCCTGCAGTGTCTCTCACTGTCTTCTCATATCTCTCACAGCCCTCTCATATCTGACATATCTCTCACAGTCCTCTCATATCACCCATATCTCTCACAGTCCTCTCATATCTCCCATATCTCTCACAGCCCTCTCATATCTCCCATATCTCTTACTGTCCTCTCATATCTCCCATATCTCTCACAGTTCTCTCATATCTCCCATATCTCTCACAGTTCTCTCATATCTCCCATATCTCTCACAGTTCTCTCATATCTCTCACAGTCCTCTCATATCTCCCATATCTCTCACAGTTCTCTCATATCTCCCATATCTCTCACAGTTCTCTCATATCACCCATATCTCTCACAGTCCTCTCATATCTCCCATATCTCTCACAGCCCTCTCATATCTCCCATATCTCTCACAGTTCTCTCATATCTCCCATATCTCTCACAGTTCTCTCATATCTCCCATATCTCTCACAGTCCTCTCATATCTCACATATCTCTCACAGCCCTCTCATATCACCCATATCTCTCACAGTCCTCTCATATCTCCCATATCTCTCACAGCCCTCTCATATCACCCATATCTCTCACAGTCCTCTCATATCTCCCATATCTCTCACAGTTCTCTCATATCTCCCATATCTCTCACAGCCCTCTCATATCTCACATATCTCTCACAGTTCTCTCATATCTCCCATATCTCTCACAGTCCTCTCATATCTCACATATCTCTCACAGCCCTTTCATATCTCACATATCTCTCACAGCCCTCTCATATCTATCATATCTCTCACACTCCTCTCATATCTCCCATATCTCTCACAGTCCTCTCATATCTCACATATCTCTCACAGCCCTCTCATATCTCAAATATCTCTCACTGTCCTGTCATATCTCACGCAGACCTCTCACTTCACTGACTGCTCTCATATCATTACAAATATAAAGATTTACTGTCAAATAATTCTCAGTTGCACGGATGTGGGTCGAATCATATTACACAGTGCGTTAAGGAAAATTTGTGATGAAAATTCAATGATAATCAGGACTGGTAAGCATCTTCTGGTCTAGCACCTGCGACAGCGGGCGCCACTCACAAAAGTCTCACAAGAGAAGGGCCAGTGAGTACAGAGGAGTGGTGATTGTAGACAGGTGATGATTGTAGACAAGTGAAGATTGTAGACAAGTGATGATTGTACACAGGTGGTGATTGTAGAGAAGTGGTGATTGTAGACAGGTGATGATTGTAGACAAGTGAAGATTGTAGACAAGTGATAATTGTACACAGGTGGTGATTGTAGAGAAGTGGTGATTGTAGACAGGTGATGATTGTAGACAAGTGATGATTGTAGACAAGTGATGATTGTAGACAAGTGATGATTGTAGACAAGTAATGATTGTAGACAAATGGTGATTATAGAGAAGTGGTGATTGTAAACAAATGGTGATTGTAGACACGTAATGATTGTTGACAGATGATGATTGTGGACAAGTGATGACTGTAGACAAGTGGTGATTGTAGACAAGTGATTGTTGTAGAGAAGTGATGATTGTAGACAAGTAATGATTGTAGACAGGAGATGATTGTAGACAAGTAATGATTGTAGACAAATGATGATTGTACACAGGTGGTGATTGTAGAGAAGTGGTGATTGTAGACAGGTGATGATTGTAGACAAGTGAAGATTGTAGACAAGTGATGATTGTACACAGGTGGTGATTGTAGAGAAGTGGTGATTGTAGACAGGTGATGATTGTAGACAAGTGAAGATTGTAGACAAGTGATGATTGTAGACAAGTGGTGATTGTAGACAAGTAATGATTGTAGACAAATGGTGATTATAGAGAAGTGGTGATTGTAAACAAATGGTGATTGTAGACACGTAATGATTGTTGACAGATGATGATTGTGGACAAGTGATGACTGTAGACAAGTGGTGATTGTAGACAAGTGATTGTTGTAGAGAAGTGATGATTGTAGACAAGTAATGATTGTAGACAGGAGATGATTGTAGACAAGTAATGATTGTAGACAAATGATGATTGTACACAGGTGGTGATTGTAGAGAAGTGGTGATTGTAGACAGGTGATGATTGTAGACAAGTGAAGATTGTAGACAAGTGATGATTGTACACAGGTGGTGATTGTAGAGAAGTGGTGATTGTAGACAGGTGATGATTGTAGACAAGTGAAGATTGTAGACAAGTGATGATTGTAGAGAAGTGGTGATTGTAGACAAGTAATGGTTGTAGACAAATGATGATGGTACACAGGTGGTGATTGTAGAGAAGTGGTGATTGTAGACAAGTGAAGATTGTAGACAAGTGATGATTGTAGAGAAGTGGTGATTGTAGACAAGTAATGGTTGTAGACAAATGATGATGGTACACAGGTGGTGATTGTAGAGAAGTGGTGATTGTAGACAAGTGAAGATTGTAGACAAGTGATGATTGTAGACAAATGGCGATTGTAGAGAAGAGGTTATTGTAGAGAAGTTGTGATTGTAGACAAGTGGTGATTGTAGACAAGTGGTGATTGTAGAGAAGTGGTGATTGTAGACAAGTGGTGATTGTAGACAAGTGATGATTGTAGACAAATGGCGATTGTAGAGAAGTGGTGATTGTAGACAGGTGATGATTGTAGACAAGTGATGATTGTAGACAAATGGCGATTGTAGAGAAGAGGTTATTGTAGAGAAGTTGTGATTGTAGAGAAGTGGTGATTGTAGACAAGTGGTGATTGTAGAGAAGTGGTGATTGTAGACAAGTGGTGATTGTAGACAAGTGATGATTGTAGACAAATGGCGATTGTAGAGAAGTGGTGATTGTAGACAGGTGATGATTGTAGACAAGTGATGATTGTAGACAAATGGCGATTGTAGAGAAGAGGTTATTGTAGAGAAGTTGTGATTGTAGACAAGTGGTGATTGTAGACAAGTGATGATTGTAGACAAATGGCGATTGTAGAGAAGAGGTTATTGTAGAGAAGTGGTGATTGTAGACAAGTGGTGATTGTAGACAAGTGGTGATTGTAGAGAAGTTGTGATTGTAGACAAGTGATGATTGTAGGCAAGTTGTGATTGAAGACGCCCCATAATCCAACTTGCCCGAACTTATATCACTCTACAGCATGTGCAGCTTAAGATAAACATTGCTTTGGCAGGAATCATTGGTCCCTCCAGAAGTGCGACGGCGCTAGAGGCAGCGAAGATTCTGAGTGACTCCGGGATACCAATGATCAGTCCGTCCGCAACAGCAGCTGATCTCAGTCTCAACTACACCAACTTCTACCGCACAGCACTACCGGACACAGTGCAAATCAGAGTGAGTACACACCAAAGACAGGGCAGATTTGTACGAGATTGTACGAGATTGTATGAGATTGTACGAGATTGTATGAGATTGTACGAGATTGTATGAGATTGTACGAGATTGTATGAGATTGTATGAGACTGTACGAGATTGTATAAGATTGTACGAGATTGTACGAGATTGTATGAGATTGATACACACACTACCTGCAGATCAGAGAACACACTCCTCCATATAATATGCGTGGGACGTGTATGTCCTCTGATAGATATTACTTAGAAGTTGACGGATGGCAAAGTAGACACAATTTATGGATACCAACTTCTTTAATACTGTAAAGGCGACGTTTCGGTATAGATCCATATACCGTTGTCAAGCAAGCCTGAATGAGGAACATTGTACGGAATAAATATAGCAGGTGGAGGTTTAACAGTAGAGGATTAACAGTAACAACAATTGCATACATGAGTGGGATAACATGTGTTAGTAATGACAACAGAAGGATAATACTGTCACATCAGACAGAGAGCACATAGGTGGAAGTCAATGAGACATGAAGCCAATTAAACAGGATAAGTTGGCATAGGTGTGGTGATTATTGCTTAATGAGTTCATAGTAGGCGGAAGGGATGAAATAGCCTTGATCTCTGTTGCTTGATGGCTTGTGGCGGCGAATGTGGACTACTTCTGTTAATATTATTTTAGTGAAGTCATGGATGTTGGGACGTTTTCCCAGTTGATGTTGTGATTGGGACAGTTGCTGATATGGTCCGAAATGGCTTGTTTTGATGTTGAGGTTTTGTGCTTTGGTTCTGTTCTTGATTGATTTGATCCTCATTGATTGTATGTTCTTGTGTTGTTCTCAGCCCATGTTGGACATTCTGAAGAGGTTGGACTGGACGTACGTAGTGGTGGTCCATAGTGGCGACATCTATGGCCGTGCAGCGGCCGCCATGCTGAAGGTTGAGGGAAGAAAGAATGGGATTTGTTTCACGAAGTCTGTGGAGGTTCCTAGCATTGTGGACCGGTCGGATCTGTTCACCGAGTTGCGGGAAGTGAAGGAGGCAACAGAGGACAAGCATCTGGCAGTGGTGTACTTCGGCTCGCGAGACGTGGCTAAGGATATCATGAAGTACTACGCAGACTCCACGTTGACAGGTTTCTACTGGCTGATGTCTGACTCTGTAGGAAGAGTGTATGATATTTTCAAGGGCAGTGATAGAGTGGCGATAGGAACGTTAACCCTGTCGCCATCGCCAGTTGCGTTTGAAGAGTTAAACGTCTTCTGGTCCAGTATTAAAGATTCCACTCCCTTGTTCATGGAGTACGGGCGCCAAGCCAACAGTGACGAGTTATTTGCGACCCAGTCCGACTACGTGGCGCCCACTGTTGACGCTACATACGCATATGCCGTTGCTTTGAAGAACGCCATATCCGATCTGTGTGTCAGCCCCGCTGAGCATCTGTGTGTACAAAAACTCAGGGACAATCAGCTTGCACGCTACGTGAAGAACGTTAATGTCAACTTCACAGCCTTGGGGGACTCGTTTGTCCCGCCCGAGTATGTGGCCCAGCGACGTCACTTCTCTTTCAAAAACGACTCAGGCGACGTCGTCCGCGGGCCCGAGACTGTTCTGTATTACGTCAATGCTGTAACAGCGGGCAATCAGGTAACATGGTCCATTCATACTCAATAACGTTATGTATCAAGGCTGTGACTCACGTACTTAATAATGTATCACAGTAACATGATGTATTCAATATCTCTATTTGGAATAACCTCACGAACCATCACTTATTGTACATGCATGTATCAAGATTGTAACCACTGTATGTAGAATAACCTCACGAACCACCACTTAATGTACATGCATGTATCAAGTTTGTAGCCCTGTATGTAGAATAACCTGATGAACCATCACTTAATGTACACGCATGTATCAAGATTGTTGCCTCTGTATGTAGAATAACCTGATGAACCATCACTTAATGTACACGCATGTATCAAGATTGTAGCCTCTGTATGTAGAATAACCTGATGAACCGTCACTTAATGTACACGCATGTATCAAGATTGTAGCCTCTGTATGTAGAATAACCTGATGAACCATCACTTAATGTACACGCATGTATCAAGATTGTAGCCTCTGTATGTAGAATAACCTGATGAACCATCACTTAATGTACACGCATGTATCAAGATTGTAGCCTCTGTATGTAGAATAACTTCACGAACCACCACTTAATGTACATGCATGTATCAAGATTGTAGCCTCTGTATGTAGAATAACCTGACGAACCATCACTTAATGTACACGCATGTATCAAGATTGTAGCCTCTGTATGTAGAATAACTTCACGAACCACCACTTAATGTACATGCATGTATCAAGATTGTAGCCTCTGTATGTAGAATAACCTGATGAACCATCACTTAATGTACACGCATGTATCAAGATTGTAGCCTCTGTATGTAGAATAACCTGATGAACCATCACTTAATGTACACGCGTGTATCAAGTTTGTAGCCCTGTATGTAGAATAACCTCACGAACCATCACTTAATGTACACGCATGTATCAAGATTGTAGCCTCTGTATGTAGAATAACCTCACGAACCATCACTTAATGTACACTCATGCAACGAAATGAAATCAATAGCGTTGTGATGAAGCAGCAACATTTTCATTTTGCTTTGTGATACATTGTAATAATAGTTGCATATGATACAGGTAAATGGCGTGACAAAAGCTGTATGTATATGGCATGGTGATATGACGTAATAATAGCTGCATATTAACGCTGTAATATGACGTAATAATAGCCGCATATGGCATTGTGATAGGATGTAGAAAAATAACTGCATATGGCATTGTGATATGACGTAGTAATAGCTGTATATGGCATTGTGACATAACGTAATACTAACTGTATAGGGCATCGTGATATGACGTAATAATACCTTTATATGGCATTGTGATATCACGTAATAATAGTTGCATGTGGCATTGCGATATGACGTAGTAATAGTTGCATATGCATATGCAGTTATTATTTGGTCATGTCACAATGCAATATGAAGCTAGTATTACATCATATCACAATGTCATATACAGCTATTATTACGTCATATCACAATGTCATATACATCTATTATTACGTCATATCACAATGTCATATACAGCTATAATTACGTCATGTCACAATGCCATAAACAGCTATTATTACGTCATTTCATAATGCCATATGAAACTACTATTACGCCATATCACGATGACATATACAGCTATATAACGTCATTCCACAAAGCCATATACAGTTAGTATTACGTCATGTAATAATGCCGGCGTAGTGATATGACGTAATAATGGCTACATATGTCATTGTGATATGGCGTAACAATAGCTTCGTGATTGTATTTTTCAGTTTGCAAGCGTCGGACACTATTCTTCCAGCGGTTTGGAATTTAACGTCACATCTATTGTAATGAAAGACGGAGATAGTGTTATGACAGGCACCTCTCTGCCGAGATCCACCTGCAAGGGTTACTGCAAGGAATGTGTGGAGTTTGGCAACATACCAATGGTCTTTGTCAAGGGAGACATCTATTTGGTGGGAATATTTTCCATTCACTCTTCAGACCCTGTTAACCCCTTCGAGTGCAACCAATTCCGGGGTGTCTCCAGTGATACCATTGCTCTTGAAGCGTTTCTGTATTCTGTTAAAGAGATGGGCAAACAAACAGGGCTTAACTTTGGTGCCGTTGCCTTTGACGACTGCTACAGTTCCGTCCGACTGACCAGCATTATATCCGAGTATTTCTCCTCCATTGAAAGACCGTCAAAGATCTTTGGGCACCTGGTCCCTCTCAACAAGACGGTGGCAGTGATTGGCTCCCTGTCCAGTGACTCCACCATACCTCTGGCTAGATTCTTCAATGGCCTCAACATCCCTGTCCTGTCCTATGCAGCCTCCAGCCCTGATCTGGATGACAGAGTCAACTTCCCCAGCTTCCTGCGGACGGTCCCTAGTGATGTCCAGCAGGCAAAGGCCATGGTCCAGGTCATCACGGACATGGGCTGGGAGTATGTCAGCTTGCTGTACGTCAGCAACAACTACGGCACAAAGGGAATGCAAGCTTTCCAAAATTACGCCCTCGCGGCGGGGATATGCGTCTCTCAACCGAAGAATATCAGTGAGAGTTCTAGCAGCGGGGTGGATCGGGAACTTTTGGACGTGTTAGATGAACTCTTATTAGAAAATGCCAAGGTTGTTGTGTTCTTTGGTATTGACACTCGTTTCAAAGACTTCATGAAGGCGGTCAATGACAGAGAACAATACGGAAAATTTGTTGTCGTTGCCAGCGAAGACTGGGGAAACAAACAAAGTATTCTGGCAAGTGGCGAGAGGGCCACGCGCGGAGCGATCACGCTGAAGATTGAGCAGATGCTTGAACCCCCTTTTCCTGGCTTCTCCGCGTCTCTGCTGTCCAAAACCCCCGGGAACAACCTCATCAACCCCTGGTTCCCGGAGTTTTGGCAGAGCAAGTTCAGCTGCAACATCCGCGGTGGCTTCAACAACATCAACCAAGATGAGTGTTCCGAAAGTCTGAGTCTGACAAGTGAAAATATGAAAAATCACCTCAACAACCAGCGCGTGAAGCACGTGCAGTATGCCACCTATGCGGCGGGGAAGGGTGTGAGCGAGGTCAAGGGCAAGCTGTGCATGGACTATGGGGATGTGTTTCCATGTCGCTTCTACTACGACTCGCAATACAGCAGCAGTGTTTGGGAGACGATCAGAGAAGTAACAAATCCACAGTCACCTTTGCAGCCGTTGTTTGACGAAGATGGGAACGGCGCCATCGGCTTCACGATCTACAACGTACAAGTTGATTCCAGTGGACAGACAGGCAGCGGGCATACATATGTCGAGGTAGCTATATGTTGTACGGTGTTGAGAGTGGACAGACAGACAGTGGACATACATATGTCGAGGTAGCTATATGTTGTACGGTGTTGAGAGTGGACAGACAGACAGCGGACATACATATGTCGAGGTAGCTATATGTTGTACGGTGTTGACAGTGGACAGACAGACAGCGGACATACATATGTCGAGGTAGCTATATGTTGTACGGTGTTGACAGTGGACAGACAGACAGTGGACATACATATGTCGAGGTAGCTATATGTTGTACGTTGTTGAGAGTGGACAGACAGACAGTGGACATACATATGTCGAGGTAGCTATATATGTTGTACGGTGTTGAGAGTGGACAGACAGACAGTGGACATACATATGTCGAGGTAGCTATATGTTGTACGGTGTTGACAGTGGACAGACAGACAGTGGACATACATATGTCGAGGTAGCTATATGTTGTACGGTGTTGAGAGTGGACAGACAGACAGTGGACATACATATGTCGAGGTAGCTATATGTTGTACGGTGTTGACAGTGGACAGACAGACAGTGGACATACATATGTCGAGGTAGCTATATATGTTGTACGGTGTTGAGAGTGGACAGACAGACAGTGGACATACATATGTCGAGGTAGCTATATGTTGTACGGTGTTGACAGTGGACAGACAGACAGTGGACATACATATGTCGAGGTAGCTATATATGTTGTACGGTGTTGAGAGTGGACAGACAGACAGTGGACATACATATGTCGAGGTAGCTATATGTTGTACGGTGTTGAGAGTGGACAGACAGACAGTGGACATACATATGTCGAGGTAGCTATATGTTGTACGGTGTTGAGAGTGGACAGACAGACAGTGGACATACATATGTCGAGGTAGCTATATATGTTGTACGGTGTTGAGAGTGGACAGACAGACAGTGGACATACATATGTCGAGGTAGCTTTATGTTGTACGGTGTTGAGAGTGGACAGACAGACAGTGGACATACATATGTCGAGGTAGCTTTATGTTGTACGGTGTTGACAGTGGACAGACATAGGTTGTTTTATTTGTTTCTTTTAACGCCACACTCAGCAATATTCCAGCTATATCACTGAGATCTGTAAATAATCGAGTCTGGACCAGATAATCCAGTGATTGACATCATGAGTGTCGATCCACGCAATTGAGATACGATGACATGCATCAAGCAAGTCAGCGAGCCTGACCACCCGACCCCGTCAGTCGCCTCTTACGACAAGCATAGCCGCCTTTTACGACAAATGTTGTATAGCAAGTGTGTTCATAGCAAAAACAGAGAGGTGTAAGCTTGACGAGATATAGTGTTCAAAAGGACACAACTCTGTTTTGGAAGTTAGTATGAAAGGAAACATCCAGCTCAATAAAAGTAGAAAAGTACAATGTTTATATGTGTATACTATGAAAGTCTTCTGTTATAATGTGTGTATACTTCACATGTTGGCTCTATGAAAGTCTTCTGTTATAATGTGTGTATACTTCACTTGCTGGCTCTATGAAAGTCGTATGTTATAATGTGTGTATACTTCACAAGCTGGCTCTATGAAAATCGTATGTTATAATGTGTGTATACTTCACAAGCTGGCTCTATGAAAATCGTATGTCATAATGTGTGTATACTTCACTTGCTGGCTCTATGAAAGTCGTATGTTATAATGTGTGTATACTTCACAAGCTGGCTCTATGAAAGTCGTATGTTATAATGTGTGTGTACTTCACAAGCTGGCTCTATGAAAGTCGTATGTTATAATGTGTGTATACTTCACATGTTGGCTCTATGAAAGTCGTATGTTATAATGTGTGTATACTTCACAAGCTGGCTCTATGAAAGTCGTATGGTATAATGTGTTTGTACTTCACAAGCTGACTCTATTAAAGTCGTATGTTATAATGTGTGTATACTTCACAAGCTGGCTCTATGAAAGTCGTATGTTATAATGTGTGTATACTTCACAAGCTGGCTCTATGAAAGTCGTATGTTATAATGTGTGTATACTTCACATGTCGGCTCTATGAAAGTCGTATGTTATAATGTGTGTATACTTCACATGTTGGCTCTATGAAAGTCGTATGTTATAATGTGTGTATACTTCACTTGCTGGCTCTATGAAAGTCGTATGTTATAATGTGTGTATACTTCACTTGCTGGCTCTATGAAAGTCGTATGTTATAATGTGTGTATACTTCACTTGCTGGCTCTATGAAAGTCGTATGTTATAATGTGTGTATACTTCACATGCTGGCTCTGTTAAAGTCGTATGTTATAATGTGTGTATACTTCACTTGCTGGTTCTGTTAAAGTCGAATGTTATAATGTGTGTATACTTCACTTGCTGGCTCTATGAAAGTCATATGTTATAATGTGTGTGTACTTCACTTGCTGGCTCTGTTAAAGTCGTATGTTATAATGTGTGTATACTTCACTTGCTGGCTCTTTGAAAGTCGTATGTTATAATGTGTGTATACTTCACAAGCTGGCTCTATGAAAGTCGTATGTTATAATGTGTGTATACTTCACAAGCTGGCTCTGTTAAAGTCGTATGTTATAATGTGTGTATACTTCACTTGCTGGCTCTATGAAAGTCGTATGTTATAATGTGTGTATACTTCACTTGCTGGCTCTATGAAAGTCGTATGTTATAATGTGTGTATACTTCACAAGCTGGCTCTATGAAAGTCGTATGTTATAATGTGTGTATACTTCACTTGCTGGCTCTATGAAAGTCGTATGTTATAATGTGTGTATACTTCACAAGCTGGCTCTATGAAAGTCGTATGTTATAATGTGTGTATACTTCACAAGCTGGCTCTATGAAAGTCGTATGTTATAATGTGTGTATACTTCACAAGCTGGCTCTATGAAAGTCGTATGTTATAATGTGTGTATACTTCACTTGCTGGCTCTATGAAAGTCGTATGTTATAATGTGTGTATACTTCACTTGCTGGCTCTGTTAAAGTCGAATGTTATAATGTGTGTATACTTCACAAGCTGGCTCTATGAAAGTCGTATGTTATAATGTGTGTATACTTCACTTGCTGGCTCTGTTAAAGTCGTATGTTATAATGTGTGTATACTTCACTTGCTGGCTCTGTTAAAGTCGAATGTTATAATGTGTGTATACTTCACTTGCTGGCTCTATGAAAGTCATATGTTATAATGTGTGTATACTTCACAAGCTGGCTCTATGAAAGTCGTATGCTATAATGTGTGTGTACTTCACTTGCTGGCTCTGTTAAAGTCGTATGTTATAATGTGTGTATACTTCACAAGCCGGCTCTATGAAAGTCGTATGTTACAATGTGTGTATACTTCACAAGCTGGCTCTATGAAAGTCGTATGGTATAATGTGTGAAAACTTCACATGTCGGCTCTATGAAAGTTGTATGTTATAATGTGTGTATACTTCACATGTCGGCTCTAAGTAAGTCGTATGGTATAATGTGTGAAAACTTCACATGTCGGCTCTATGAAAGTTGTATGTTATAATGTGTGTGTACTTGACACGCCGCCTCTATGAAAGTCGTATGTTATAATGTGTGTATACTTCACATGTCGGCTCTAAGTAAGTCGTATGGTATAATGTGTGTATACTTCACAAGCCGGCTCTATGAAAGTCGTATGCTATAATATTTGTATACTTCACAGGTCGGTACCTATGGAGCGAGTGGGCTGCAACTGGACAAAGAAAAGATCACGTTCTATGACCACCTGGGTTACCCGACGGAGGTCAGCGCCAAATGCGGGACTGGGAGTAGGTGCTCAGCGTGTGTGCGACAAACTACTTCCGCGCCAACGCTGGTGACGTCATCACCAACTGGTCCGGACGTCAGTTTTAGGGTGGCGGACATAATCATCATCACCATTTGTGCCTTGTTTCTGATCCTCTTTCTGATAGCCCTGCTGATTGCTTACAGGTATCTCAGGATCAAGGTCAACGGTAAGCATTGCCTACAAGTGTCACACAGGTACCTCGGTCTGAATGAGTGAGTGAGCTTTATGACAAATTTTACACATCAGTGACAAACAATGAAGACCGATGCAATTCCTTGTTTTGACTTGTACCATGTTCCCTGTTTCAGGTGAACAATTGACTTGCCTTTGCATGTATGTTTATCGGATGCCACCGTTTGGGAAGGATGTCTTCATCTTTTTGCGAACACCTGGTGTCATCACGATTTGATAGTGATTCATAAACACATGCTCTCGATACAGTCGGAATTGTACAATGTATGAATATTGAAAGGGTTTTGTCGTTTTTATTTACTCACTTCTTAAGTTTATATAATGTGTGTCTTGACTCGTGTGTTATATGTACTTTGTGTCTTGATTGAAAAAGTTCAACGCCGAGTTGGACTACGACAGTATTTCAGTAATATCGTGGTGTGTCAGCTGGATGTGTCAGGGAAGCCCGATGTGTCTTTACTGAAGTATTTTATATGGTGTCTGTCTTGACTCGTGTGTTCTATAAAGTATGTGTCTTGTCTCAGTGTTCTATTTAGTGTGTTTCTTGTCTGATGTGTTCTACATTGTGCGTGTCTTGTCTCATGTGTTCTATATAGTGTGTCTTGTCTCGTGTGTTCTACATAGTCGGTGTCTTGTCTCATGTGATCTGTACTGTACGTGCCTTGTCTCATGTGTTTCATATAGCGAGTGTCTTGTTTCGTGTGTTCTACATAATGTGTCTTGTCTGATGTGTTCTACATAATGTGTCTTGTCTGATGTGTTCTACATAATGTGTCTTGTCTGATGTGTTCTACATAATGTGTCTTGTCTGATGTGTTCTACATAATGTGTCTTGTCTGATGTGTTCTACATAATGTGTCTTGTCTGATGTGTTCTACATAATGTGTCTTGTCTGATGTGTTCTACATAATGTATCTTGTCTGATGTGTTCTACATAGTGTGTCTTGTCTGATGTGTTCTACATAATGTGTCTTGTCTGATGTGTTCTACATAATGTGTCTTGTCTGATGTGTTCTACATAATGTGTCTTGTCTGATGTGTTCTACATAGTGTGTCTTGTCTTATCTCATGTGTTCTACATAGTGCGTGTGTCTTGTGTCATGTGATCTGTACAGTGTGTGTCTTGTCTCAGGTGTTCTATGTAGTGAGTGTCCTGTCCCATGAGATCTGTACATGTACGTCTATGTTGTCAGGCCTGAGCAAGGATATACAGAGATACGCTGCAGGCAACAACGAACACATATACCAGACGGTGTCCGAGAGGAGAGTGTACCAGAACCCGCCCACAAGTCCACAACGCCGCACCCCAACAACCCCCAACCACATCTACTTCGTCAATGGCAGCCATGACAGTTTAAACGAAGCTGCAGGTCACGTGAATCAAGCTTTCCGAACTGACGACACGTTATCCCAGCGGAATGTTAGCGGAGGAACCACCGCTAGCGCTAGCGCCACGAACACCTCGACCCAGTCACGGCAGACTGAAGCCCCAGATCCACGTGGGAGGAGCACCTCGCTGTCCCCATCTCACTCCGGACAGGTGGTCATGACCGACATCCCAAACAGAGCCCTGCCAGGCGGGATACTACCGGAAGTGCCTGCTAACGGACATGTCCCGAATGGAGGTGTCACATCACCGGGATTCCAACAAAGACCTTCAACTTTGCATTTTCATCAGAATCCCAGATTTACTGATATTCAAGGGATGACTGATAATGGACATACGTCGAATTTGCTTGCACACAGTATGAGTCCAGTTCTGAATCGTCCAGACTTACACCATTTGCCTGAAACCTACATGGGCTCGCCTCTGTCCTCGGTGTCTCCAGTGACTGACTCGCCCGTTTCCCAGGGGGTGCTCAGTCATCACAGCTCGCCTGCAATGGCTGCCAACCCATCCATGTTGCAAACTCTTGCCAGCCAGCAGGCTGTTCTTGAACAGCAGGCAGCGCTCACCGCTCTTGAAGTGCAGAGACTACACCTCCTTCAGCAACAAAGTGCTCAGCATCCCTCCAACCCCTACATCCCGCTGTCAGCCACCGAGACACGGCCTCATCTGTCACCCCTGCGAGACCCCCCATATCCCAGTCAGGATGAGCTTCCCATGGACAGACCCAGGCCGAGAACCAACCCCCAACACATGGCCCCACTCTCCAGCAGGGTGTCATCGCATCACGGCAGCATAGACTCCCTGAGATCCAGCGGACGATCTCGCCACCAAGTCTCGCCAACATACAGCCCTGATGGCAAGAACATCCACATGCAACCGCTTGCACATGACTCGAGAATATCCCGAGTCTGACTGGTCAAATACTGTAAAAAGGATCTGTTCTCGGAAGATTAGCGGATCTAGTTGTGAATGCATTGTGTATAGAAATATAACCCTGAAATTACCGCGACATACTTCCTAAGAATATTGACGGCTTCATCTTACCGTGTGATGACAGCTCATTTAACTCAACGGCTTATGCCGTAAGATGCTCTTAATACTCATCATTGAGTCTGACGTGACGACAAGTGACATCATCCGACGAGGTATAGTGTATTTAAGAAACCACAGCATTGTCGTCATCCTCCATATTGACATTCCGAACTCGCCGCGTCAAACAAATATTGTACATTGCAAATAGTTTTATAAGTGCTTTATTTTTTCTTTGCATCATGATATATGGTAGGCATAGCTAAAGGCTCCATGCCCGCAGTACTGCGCTGGAATCTGACTCGTGAGGTTTATGTGTTTTATCTAATCCTATGTTGTGATATTTTTTCTGTTATCTATATTTTATATAGCGTTTACTTCCATGTCATACTTATACTCAAGCAATTGTTTCTGTTTGTTTTTGTTTACTGTTTATTGTTTATTAATTCTTCATGCGTGTGTTGGAGAGTCGGTTCAATGTCTGAGCAGAGGAACGCGACAGCAAGAAGCTCAAGGGTGTGGGAATTCATAACATTCACATGAAGCAATAGTACATCGGTACATCACCTGTTAGGTATGCTGTGTCATCATAACTTCCCTTTGATCTATGTTGTGTCATCATTGTATCACTATTAGGTGTGTTGTGACATCACATCTCTATTTGATGTATTGTGACATCATCACATCACTATTAGGTGTGTTGTGACATCATCACATCACTATTAGGTGTGTTGTGACATCACATCTCTATTTGATGTATTGTGACATCATCACATCACTATTAGGTGTGTTGTTACATCATCACATCACTATTAGGTGTGTTGTGACATCATCACATCCCTTTTAGGTGTGTTGAGACGTCATCACATCACTATTAGGTATGTTGGTTCATACTTCCCTTGCATAATAAAAGACGGCACCATGACAAAATAATCCGTTAAGACCTATTTACTCTGGAAAATGACATGGAAGATTGTTTCCCTGTATACAGTGTTCAGGTGTGGATCTCGCATAACTCTGGCCTTTGTTCGACGGCCATCGGATTAGCTCATGAATTATGCCAAATACGAATATTGATTTGTTGATTGACATGTGTACATTGTATATCTTATCACTAATCTGACATATATGTGACTTATGACCAGCCTTGTATTTACGTGTGCCTATAAAAAATGAACAATGTGGAATTGCCATCTACATATTGTATAAAATACGTCCAGTCTGACGTTGACGAGTGCCCATTGTATAACTAACATACGATCTGTCCAACACCATCGTGTGCCCCTCGTATAGCGTGATCAGCGTAACGTTAACGTATTCAGGTTTGAAAAACACTAGTATTAAATACGGTATCTTCAAAGGGGAATTATTTAGCTATCTGTATAGCAACACCCTGTCGACGAGGTAATATATAATGACACTTAATGTTATATACCGTATTCGACCTAATAGGCGACCATTAGAAATAGAGGGCTCTTATTAGAATATAATGTTTTGTAAAAAAAAGTTGAAAGATCGTCAATTTTGTGGTATATGCTGACAGCCTGAAATGATACAAAAGAAAAGTCTATGCGTATTATACACGACACATATATTTTTCCAGAATTTAATTGTCCATAATTAAGGAAGAACATAACACACGAGTACGTATTATACGCGAATAAATACGTATTGTGTACATTAATCAACCGGAATGGGTGCTAATTAGGATTGTTCACTAGCCAATATATTAGCAAATATCGCTGTGGGCGCTTATTAGAGTGGGGCGCTTATTACGTCGAATACGGTATTTCAGTACGTGTGCTGCTCCCTTGCAGGTCCATGTGTTTGTTGGTGAGGGACACGACCACACCGATACAAGAAGCATGACCATGACAATACTCGCCACAGTGTCTTATGTGACCATATCAAACATGTTGCGAGTGACGTCACGTCGACAGCACACGTCAAACTATGTGACATTGTGACGGTGCATATGTGACCATATCAAACATGTTGAGTGACGTCACGAGGACTACACGTCACACTATGGGAATATGTGACGGTGCATATGTGACCATATCAAACATGTTGCGAGTGACGCCACGTAGACAGTACACGTCAAACTATGTGACATTGTGACGGTGCATATGTGACCATATCAAACATGTTGAGTGACGTCACGAGGACTACACGTCACACTATGGGAATATGTGACGGTGCCTATGTGACCATATCAAACATGTTGCGAGTGACGTCACGTAGACAGTACACGTCAAACTATGTGACATTGTGACGGTGCATATGTGACCATATCAAACATGTTGCGAGTGACGTCATGTAGACAGTACACGTCAAACTACTAGTATGTGACATTGTGACGGTGCATATGTGACCATATCAAACATGTTGAGTGACGTCACCAGGACTACACGTCACACTATGGGAATATGGGACGGTGCATATGTGACCATATCAAACATGTTGCGAGTGACGTCACGTAGACAGTACACGTCAAACTATGTGACATTGTGACGGTGCATATGTGACCATATCAACTATCGACTACACGTCACACTATGGGAATATCTGACATTGTGTTCGTAAATTTATATGTCATATTGTGTTCGTGAATATACCGGCATATCACACATGTTGACACAAATGACTCTGTCAATGAACACCAAATGTACTACACGTTCGCAGATGTATAAATAGACATAATACATTCCAGAGCTCAGAGGTTTTGTATGGAGATTTAAGATATTTTCAAATGTCACCGTGTTGAATAAAATTCTTATATTATATTGAGCATCACGTGTTGATTGTTCCATTATGAATGTTTGACTGTAACCATGAGATCGAGAAACATATGAAGTGGTGAACTCTCACCGGGAGAAGTTCGTGTTCCGAAACAACAACTGCAGGTCAAACCAGAGTAGCTCGCTCAACCGTTACAATAACCACATCATGGTGGCATTAAGGCTAGAACAGCTGCCTAGAACATTTTACCAGAACCACAACTCTGTGGAATTAAGGCTAGAACAGCTGCCTAGAACAGTTTACCAGAACAGCACCCTGGTGGTATTAAGGCCAGAACAACTGCCTACACTATTTTACCAGAACAGCACCCTGGTGGTATTAAGGCTAGAACAAACTGCCTAGAACATTTTACCAGAACCGCACCCTGGTGGCATTAAGGCTAGAACAGCTGCCTAGAACAGTTTACCAGAACCGCACCCTGGTGGTATTAAGGTCATAACAACTGCCTAGAACAGTTTACGAGAACCGCACCCTGGTGGCATTATGGCTAGAACAGCTGCCTGGAACAGTTTACCAGAACCGCACCCTGGTGGTATTAAGGCTTGAACAGGTGCCTGGAGCAGTTTACCATAACCAAACAATGATTTGATGGATTCGAAGTTTGAATAGGCTCCAGGAACATATTTAGAATCGTAACAGACGACACAAATACAGCAAGTGTGTCATTGAAAACACAATGAAGTGATAAAGTACAATGTGCTGTGTGTGGTGAAGTACAGAGTGTTGTGTGTGGTGAAGTACAAAGTGTTGTGTGTGGTGAAGTACAAAGTGTTGTGTGTGGTGAAGTACAAAGTGTTGTGTGTGGTGAAGTACAAAGTGTTGTGTGTGGTGAAGTACAAAGTGTTGTGTGTGGTGAAGTACAAAGTGTTGTGTGTGGTGAAGTACAAAGTGTTGTGTGTGGTGAAGTACAAAGTGTTGTGTGTGGTGAAGTACAAAGTGTTGTGTGTGGTGAAGTACAAAGTGTTGTGTGTGGTGAAGTACAAAGTGTTGTGTGTGGTGAAGTACAATTTGTTGTGTGTGGGACATCATAAAGTTAGTATGACGTATTCATGTATATGATAAGTATGGCATCGGCATGTACTTTAAAAATAACACATCTTGAAGTGAATACTAGGTATGTCGTAATCAAGTACATACGTATGGCATTAGCATGTACATCGAAGATATCACATCTCGAAGTGAATACTAGGTATGACGGATTATGTACATAAGTATGGCATCAGCATGTACGTTGAAGATATCCCATCTTGAAGTGAATACTAGGTATGACTGATTATATACATAAACATGACATCATCAAGAAGATACATATGACAAATAACTGTACTACAATTGGATTACTCTTATTTCTCTTTTTCGTGAGACATCAACACTACCTCCACCCAAGGTTTGACACAAGTGTGACGGTCGGTCGGACTTGGAATTACATTTATAAACAAGTGACTGCTTTTGTTGAACTTATCCTTATGTCTGTAGGATGTCACAGTCTCGACTATCCGGGTAATATATATCCATTTGCTTCGCTAAATTCCCTGAACCCTCTGGGAAGTAGCGTCTCCATTTTCAGCTCTTCAGTATGTGTCCGAGTGAGGTATCCATGTTAAACTGTGGCATGGCATCTCAGTGGACAAGCACTACAACACCGACGTAAGTCCGGACTAGTACACGCAGCCGCACACAAACGCACAACAGCGCAATAATGCTGAGAGTGAAGTTAAACCCACACATCTTGTGATGGTTTTATAAGGGTTCGGAGTTCCAATGGAGAGTTAGAATCTTGGAAGCTCTCATAAAATACGCTTAAGTTCTTAAAGTAGTCTGAATGAAGAATTTTGTTTATGAATGATCCTGATTTCTACAGTAACGTGTGTTTTGTTTGTTGTTTATGATTTATTCCAGTTACACCACGACGGGCTGTAAGTAGTCGAGCCTGGTCCAGAGAACGATCCAGACCGTGGGTGTACCATGACGCGCAACAAAGTCATCAAGCCTGCACATACGATCCATTTAATCTTCTCCCACGACAAGCCTGTGTTGCCAGGGATATCAATTACGTCATGATTTTAATGTCAATGACGCCATTGGTATCATGCGATGTCATGGAATGTTCAATAAATAAGTCCTAATGATATAAATTGTGGAGCATAAGAAACTGTCCCTTTTAGTTGATTTTATCATGTTTGATTTTCATTTGAACATGTCTTAAGTTAGCGATATAATAATAAATAAATCTAAAATAAACTGTACTGGCGCAAACAAAACAAAAAGTACATGGATTTATTTTTTAATATATATTATTTGAATAAAAACTTTAAAACATTAAAACACATTCGCATAAGACACAACCGCTGGCGGGTATCTTAAACTTCGAAAATCCACAAATTTGTTGTTTTTTATCGGCACAAATTTACATTTTAACCATGGTAGGGGTCATCTTGTTGCAAATTTATTTCTTACCCCAGTCTCCATTGAACCAATTTATTTTTAAACAAAATTAACCAGCCACAAATTACTTTTTACATACAGTTGCAGGAATGAATGATGGTTAAATAGACATATTCAAAGTAAACAACAGTTTTCAATTGCACGAAAAAGAAACTAGGTACACATTCCTCTGTCCATCTGTTTAGATCACATGTTGATACAGAGGTGGCAGAGATGGATCGCTGAATGCCACACAGCCAAGTACATGGCAGGGGTCCATACCCAGGCGTCCAAGTCGCTACAATTCGAAGAACGGAAGTACGTAGCTTAGGCGTGTAAGAAACTTTTGATCGTTGGTTCGAATCCCAGGTTCGCCCTGATAATGTTTCTATGTTTGTCAGAATCATACCGTGATCATACCCGAACGTCAAACACCTGCATCGTTTCGGGCTATTTCCCACATCAAGTCGATACGCTGAAGTGTCACTAAAATATTGTTCAAGCCGTGAAGCCAAACTCACTCACTGTAACACAGTGGAGAAAGATATACACATGTATGTACACGTCCTGTCGGAAAGAAACATCCACACAACCCGTCGTCATCCTCGGCAAATACTCTCTCTGACACACTGTCACATGTACAGGTAAACCTCCGAATGAAATTGCCCGGCTTAGCGGCGTAACGTTCCTAAAAGTAATTTCCAGAAACGCGAGGTTTCCGGATTAACAAGGTTGTGACTTCAGAATTATTACTACTTTGGCTGACGTACAACACGTAGTTCCTGCCTCAGTGTCAGACTTATGTTACGGAATTTAATCAATAGATAAGGCCGCCACACAAGTAAATCAACGGAGAAAGCCAATGCCCTTCACCCGTCGATCGTCGCTATATGTCTGAAATAATGTCGATGCGACGGTAAATTTTAACTCACTCACTCACCCGACGATCAATGCAACCCTTGTGAACACCACAGGTGACAAGCGTTCAGTACCATACTTTTAACAATTCCAAGAAAATGTTATACAATAATTAGTAAATACATTTCTACGAATCCCCTTTATGGATATCGATACAAATACATTTATGTCGTTCGAATGACATATTTCGTTATAAAAAATGCTTTTATTATTATTATTATTATTATTATTGTTGTTGTTGTTGTTGTTGTTGTTGTTGTTGATGTTATTATTGTCATTATTGTTATCGTCACTAGTGTCATTAATTTTGTTGTTATACTTAGCTATTGTTCTTGTAGTAGTGGTAGCAGTAGTGGTAGTGGTAGTAGTAGTAGTAGTAGTAGTAGTAGTAGTAGTAGTAGCAGTAGTAGTAGCAGCAGCAGAAGCAGTAGTAGACCTCCAAAATCCAGTTCAAATTTAAGAAACTTATGACCAAAATCAGTGTATGAGATCTAAAAGGTCTGTTTAAATTCCTTAATCATATGTAAAATACAGTGGGTACAATTCAGTAGTAACTATATATCCTATTTTCATTGCACTTCTTAAATGCTGCCATTTTGTACAATTGTATTATACTGTAATTGTATATTATTCTACGTACATTTTCCGCGAAATTACATGAGAGTTGTAATTAGCCGCATAGTTGTTTCACCAGAATCTTCACATGGATGCCATTTAGCAATCAAGGTATTTTCGAATGTCCCAATATGTTTCATTCCCCCTTGAAATGATGCAACGCCCTTGTTACAGTGTGTGAAGCACGAAACGCGTGTCACTCCACTCAGTGTTGCACCAGCAACAGATGTCCTTGCTGCACGTGGGAGATGCAAGCCATCCCATCCTTGCATCACCACATCTCACAGCCTGTTCCAGCACCACCGTCAGAACCCGCTGACGTCACGCGGTGATGTCGAGTCTATTCTGAAACCCCAAACCGCCCCTTTACGTCACCGACCCCCCTTGCCCTTCTCGCAGCTCAGTACAACGTAAAAGGAACGAGCGATGCTGTGGGAGTCATAGCCGGCTGAAGCTGCGCGAAGACAAACGCTTCCTTCATATTTCGTCAGGCGATCCCAAAATACTCCTGTCTGCTAGGCGCGCATTGGAATACCAGCACCACCTGCTGTAGGAGATTGGTGGTTTCAGTGATTGTAGTGACCAACCCGAGGACCGCGAACTATGGCTGGGGACAAGCGACATGACATGTCCTCCTTTCACCATATTGTCCTCCTTGCAGCGGATAACACGGAGTTCTCCGAGTATGCGTTTAACTGTAAGTACCCACCATACACAGTATTACATGTAACCTAATCAGGGAGCCAGGATACTACTATTTCAGGAGCTGTGAGCTATATGTAATGTCACCGGTGTAGTATAAACGTATATGAACGTTTCGCTATGCAGCGCAGTGAAATACTATTATTACCGACGCCATCGTTCCCTGTCCAGATTAACAGGTTTTCATTTTAACGAGGTTAGGTATACAGGAACGTAATTATGCCAATTTCGAGTAATGTTGGCCTGAGTCGTCTAAGGCGCTGCGATTCTCTGTTTAGTTGCGTGCGTGCCAAACACCTATTTTATCGTGAGTTCGAATTCCTGATTATGTGTGCCAGCACCAAACCCGTACTGGTGTGTTTTAAACGATTAAAGGCTTACAACCTGCATCCTCTCCCTATTGACATAAAACCTGCATCCTCTCCCTATTGACATAAAACCTGCATCCACTCCCTATTGACATAAAACCTGCATCCTCTCCCTATTGACATAAAACCTGCATCCACTCCCTATTGACATAAAACCTGCATCCACTCTCTATTGACATAAAACCTGCATCCACTCTCTATTGACATAAAACCTGCATCCTCTCCCTATTGACATAAAACCTGCATCCACTCCCTATTGACATAAAACCTGCATCCACTCCCTATTGACAAAAAACCTGCATCCACTCCCTATTGACATAAAACCTGCATCCTCTCCCTATTGACATAAAACCTGCATCCACTCCCTATTGGCATAAAACCTGCATCCACTCTCTATTGACATAAAACCTGCATCCTCTCCCTATTGACATAAAACCTGCATCCACTCCCTATTGACATAAAACCTGCATCCACTCCCTATTGACATAAAACCTGCATCCTCTCTCTATTGACATAAAACCTGCATCCACTCCCTATTGACATAAAACCTGCATCCTCTCCCTATTGACATAAAACCTGCATCCACTCCCTATTGACATAAAACCTGCATCCTCTCTCTATTGACATAAAACCTGCATCCTCTCTCTATTGACATAAAACCTGCATCCACTCCCTATTGACATAAAACCTGCATCCTCTCCCTATTGACATAAAACCTGCATCCTCTCTCTATTGACATAAAACCTGCATCCACTCTCTATTGACATAAAACCTGCATCCTCTCTCTATTGACATAAAACCTGCATCCACTCCCTATTGACATAAAACCTGCATCCACTCCCTATTGACATAAAACCTGCATCCACTCCCTATTGACATAAAACCTGCATCCTCTCTCTATTGACATAAAACCTGCATCCTCTCTCTATTGACATAAAACCTGCATCCTCTCTCTATTGACATAAAACCTGCATCCTCTCTCTATTGACATAAAACCTGCATCCTCTCTCTATTGACATAAAACCTTCATCCGCCCCCTATTGATTAAAACTGGCATGCCGCGATACAACTGAAATACCGTTCAATGCGGCGTTAAACCCACTCATTCTTAAACTTTCCCAACAGTATCTGTCCCGAAGGCAGATTTCTAAACTAACAGACCATGAACTAACGGGTTTTCACCACACTTTATATCTCAAAAACAAAGGACATATAAGTAGTGAGTGAGTGAGTTTAACGCCGCTTTTAACAGTATTCCAGTTATATCACGGCATGTCAGCTTAATTTGGGAGGAAAGCCCAAAGGGATGCAGGTCTCAAACGTTTACCACTTCGGTGAAACCCACGAGCACGGGTATGGTGCTGACAAACCTAGAAACATAATAGGGGCGGACCGGGATTCGAACCCAGAATCATAGGTTTCTGGCGTGCCCAAGGGACGAATCGCGGCGCCTTGGACGACTAGGTCACCCGTGCCCCCGACATGTTAGGGAAGAGAATTTATGGATGTCAACTCCTTTATCATGTGGAACACAACGTCTCGGAGTATATGCTTACCCCTCATCCTCTACCTTAATGCCAGTCAATAACTCACATGACATGTATGTTTCTTAGGCTGAAACACAGTCGTGTATACTTCATATTGGGTCGTACACAGTCTCGTAGTAATAAAAGTAAGGTGTATCATTGGAACGGAACAGAACAAAAACTAATTATGTCCGTGCCAGTATCACTTCTGTGACTGCAGTGTTTCCATATTTCTGTATACGAGAACACGTGAACCTTTTAGCTCTCAGGACACCTGTACAGATGTGCCACAGATGGCGTTACGTGGCACTACTCTTCACTCTTCTGTGGAATAACAGAGACGCTGTCAGCGCGGTGCAGTTACGCTATCACTGCTACTGCGTTACTCCCGTGTTTATTGTGTAGATAATATATGTGTTACGTTACACGCATCCTCACACATAACCTCCACTTCAGTGATGGGGTGATTCCCATCTTAATATCTAAAACAAGTTCGTTAAGTGCGTTCCTGTGCGTGCGATAGAGAGTGCATTGCATTTACATCAGGAATATGCTTGATTGTTACACGGGGCAGAACGGAATTTGAAAGAAAATATTTTTAAAACTATTTCATATAAACATTCAGTTGATGTAATATTATTACAATTATTATTCGGATTGAGGTCAATATGTCATTAGTGATCTTGTGGGAAAATACAAGAACGAGTAATAACTAATAGTTACATATGCCTAGTTTTAATTACAAATTCATTATTCATTGTTTGTTTTATATTTTATATTTCAGTAATATTTCGTTTCAGACGCAGATGTAGTTTTGTTTTACTTAAACCTTTACAGTTATGATCAAGTACAATCCATATTATATTATAGCTTCATATAACCTTGTTATAAAGCGTTTAAAGAAAATCTGACAAAAGACATACAAAAACGATTTATTTTTAATGCAAAATAACTTTGAACTTCTTAAGAACGTAAATGTTTCTACACATATCGGAAACCTGACCAAGTTCTGATAAACCCATATACATTACTTCATCTATGAAAACTCTTTACCAGACTGTTTTCAAAAAATCAATCCAGCCAAACGCCGAGGGCATTGATCATGTTTTTCCAGAAGAAATGCCAGTCATCAGGTGTTGATTTATTTACCTGACATCTTGCGTGCCTTCAGTTTAGGCCTGTGGTACAAGCGGGGACGATTCACACACTCCCAGAACCGAGCGCCAGTTTAACACATTATAGACAAGGAAGGCGCGGTGTTTATATTTTGTACAAGAAAGTAAATATTCCGATAGACTTCAGGGGGTTTCAGAATGTACTTGTTGCCTGAGGAGTACTTGAGGTAAGGTAAGGAGAAATGGGGTTTAGCTTAGTATTAAAGATTATTGCACTTTCTAGCGACGAACGTGAGTACGTGCGTGAGTCCGTGCGTCCTTGTGTTTGTGTATGCGTGGGGGCGTGTGCTTATACTAGTAAGTACTAATTCCGTTTTTATAGTGCTAGCCCAGAGATACCATGCCGCAGGTTAACATGAATACCCCCCCCCACACACACAGTATTCTGACTCCGAGCTGACCAGTCCTTTAGCCTTTTAATGCCAAGATCTAGGAAGGGTAACAACAAGTACCTTCTTTTGACGTATTTTTGGTATGACGTGAACCGCCGACCTTCCACTCGCCGGTGGCGGTCGATAAAACTGGCAGTGGTTAGGTGTACATTGCACACTGCACCGATATAGCACCGTTGTTATGATTCAAGGCGCCTGCTATAGGATGGGATGTTCAGAGATTGTGTGAACGCTTACTGTGTGGACCTGTAGGTCAGTGTATTAAACTGGACTCTACATGTCCAGTCTTGTGATTACTGGATTTGAAAAGGGAATGTTTGCAGAGTTGAACAGAGCGAATGTTTACTGGATATGTATGTACATTATATTTATCTTCCCAATTACCCCGCTGACCATAGTTATGTTCAACAATAACCCTTGACAGAACTTACTCCCGTATGAAGGTAATAAAACCTTGAAACGCACAAATCTAGATCTAGGGACGCTTTTTAGCTATTAGTTGGTAATGAATGGTTAAATAAGGGTTTGTTTGGCAAGCGTAAAGTATGTATGTCGTATAATATATATATATATATATATATATATATATATATATATATATATATATTTGCCATTTTAAACATATTTTACATTTCTACTCTGCCAATGAACAAAAGGTCCATCAGTTGTTGGTTTTACAAAAACAATACAAAGTAGGTTAATATGAAGCGAATAACAGATATATATTTCTGTTACACAAACATCAACAACTCATGGTGACGATGAAGCCCACTTCTGTAGCTTCCGATGCCAGTGTCACATTGACCTGATCCGAGGCCTCATCACCATCTAGTCTTTAAGTACATCATATAACCATCATTAGTTATAGAAACAGACATTTCCGGAAGGTAAAGCCAATCACGTGTGTTGATGTTCGGGAAATGTGTTAAAGGTTATATGCGGGGTGCTTCCATAAGACTGAAACATCACGACTGAGGATGTTAATAGTGATATATTCCGCAATAGATCGCGAGCTCTAACACTACGTGTGTATCGGGCAATTAGCGCTCCTGGGATAGTGAAATGTGTGCAGTAGATATGTTTAGTATCTATGTTCCAGATGTCCCGTCTGTAGTGTCTGTGTGTCGGATGGGCAAAGAATGTTCTTCTTAAGTTGTAGCATTATAACCCATTGTGTAGTGACTGAATTGACAGAATTGAACTTATTTTATTCCTGCAGTACGATAGTGTTCAGACCTACCTGCCCGCGGTACGTGTAATCGATTCAAATATAACAAAACAAACCACAACAAGGCAAAGGTATTACTTTCACTGTTTGGGATTTAATTTTATTACATCCAATCTCTGTACAATCAATATATACTCGAAACAAGCATTGCCATCAACGTCATACCTCGGTAAAGCTTTCAAAAGTTTATGGTTTATGGTAGACATTGGGAGGACAATTCCAAACTTGTCGCATCAGTGACAAAAACGATGTCCGATGCAATTCCCTATTTTGACTTGTACCATGTGTTCCCATGTTTTTTCAGGTGAGCAATTGACTTGCCTTTGCATGTATTTGTGACAGGCGCCACCGGTGGGGCAGGATATGCTCACCTTTTCGCTAACACCTGGTATCATTACTATTTGATAGTGATTCATACACACATGCTCATGATATAGTCGGAATTGTACAATCGACTCTGCTTTATGCAGAGATTTCTATTGGATATGGAAAGGGCTTTGTCGCTTTATTTACGTCATACAACTCTTACCCAAAAGATAAGGGTTTCAAAATGCAAGGCTCAGATCAGTAAACCTTTCAATAAGATCTATGGTAGACACGTTGAAGACAATACAATGTTTAACGCATCGGTGACAAAATATATGTCCGATGCAATTCCTTATTTTGACTTGTACCATCTGTCCCTGTGTTTGTTCAGGTTAACAATTGACCTGCCGTTGTTTGTGTTTGTGAGCGGTGCAACATATTTTAGAGCACACGCTGTTAAAACTATTGAAACTTTTGTACAAGATCTATAGTGGAAATGAAATGAAATGATTTTTATACTTCTTTTCAACCATAGGTCTTCGAAAGGCGGTCGGGTAGCCTAGCGGTTAAAGCGTTCGCTCTTCACGCCGAAAACCTGGGTTCGATTCCCGACATGGGTACAATGTGTGAAGCCCATGTCTGGTGTCCCCCGCTGTGATATTGCTGGAATATTGCTAAAAGCGGCGTAAAACAATGCTCATTCACTGTCTGACTTCGAACAAACCATTCTGGACAATGTCGTTCTATTTACAGGGTACAAGGATTACATTCACCGACCTGAGAACTTTGTCATCATTCTGCACTGCACCGACCATCAGGCGGAGGACTTTCGTGATGCAAGTAGGTGATAAACAGATACACGTGTCACTCAACTCTCAAATCAACTTCCACTGCCTTTTACATATATTGTACATTTTCGATTATTGACGTTTATATAGCTATCTTTGACAAGTGTTTCATGTGTTAAAGCATTGGTATTCCTTTACGGAAATACTACCAAATATTTAATTGTATGCTTGACTATTTCCACTTGTACCAAAGAATGAAATATATTAATACGTATCACAGTTGGGCCAAGAGACAATTTAGCTCAAGAAGAACATGACGAAGGAAACAAATCTTTGAATGGCATTTAAAAGTGTTTCCACAATGTCATGCCACAATTGTAAATTGTTTATTTCCATTATGCAATGGTATGTTTAATTGTAATAAGAGGTGCACAAGTGCCCAATCCCTTTGTCTTTCTGGACAATAAAATACGTTTAATAAGAAGTGATACATATAAGGAAGAGAATTTATGGATGTCAACTTCTTTATAATGAAGAAACGCTGGTTGTACTTAACACTTTTGCTTGTTGCATCAGGTCTTTGAAAGGCATTTAGAAGCGTTTCCTCATAATAAAGAAGTTGACATCCATAAATTCTCTTCCTGACGAAGGAAACAGTTGCTGAGTTACAATGTTGTTTTGTCTTAAATCCACATAACCCAAGTATAGAGCATGTACGTTGTTGTACACCAGCTGTACTTGTAGGTAGAATCATATTTATTCATTTTTGTCATAGTTGATTTTCTAACACAATACAGGGTTATGGTCCAATATACTACAACTTCTATTAGTACAAGCATGGGCTACATGTACGTGTTAAAACATCTGCGTTGTCATGACAGCCACTGTGGAACAGATCCAACACAACAAGCACCTGCCGACCCCCCAGTCACACATTCTCTGACTCGGAGATATAGTCATGTGTTGTTATGGAATCCTGGTTCCTGCAGCCATATGATCTCGTCACAGGAACTATTTGGCCAGATACACAAACACTCGTTCAGACAGTGTTTTACACAGCCTGTCGAAAATACCCATTTCTTTCTTTTCTTTGCATGTGTTGCATATGGTTGTGTGTAAAGTAGTGTTTTAACCGCAGACATCTGTATTTTAAGAAATAACGAGGTTCAGCTGTAAAACATCACAGATTTACTCGATACCTAGAGTATGTGATACTTTACTAAGATTGGCGTTTCAGTTCACTGTAACTGAAGTAAGAAAGCATTAACTCGCGTGTTCATTTTCGAGTGAGGGAACACGTCGTCTGAGGTGCCGCAATACGCTGTGCAGAGTTGCGTCCCTTAGACGTGCCAGAACCATATGATTCGACCTTAGTACGGTGTTTGGTTGGTTAGCGCCATATCCGTTCCCGTTGGTTTCACCAAGGGGTTGGACTTGTACCACGGTGGCTTTCCTCCCACCCCAAGCTTACACGCCGTGATAGCGCTGAAATACTGTTCAAGCGGCGTAAAACCCTACTTACTCACTTCATTCTCAGCTATAGACGCTCTCACTTCATTCTCAGCTATATCTGCTATATGACGCTCACCAAATCTGTGTTTGTCAGTACTGAACACGGAATAGTGTTACTGTTCTCAAACGCTTGGTCTGCGTTTAAGTATTAAGGAGACTTAATTACGCTAGACACCCGTAGTATTGGCGTCCCCCAGGCGTCCATCAGGCGTCCCCGAGGCGTCGTAGGAGGCGTCCAAATGAATGGTATGGTCAGGATTGATTGCGAATCATCGTACCCAGACTGCGTGGATCGATGCTCACAATATCAATCACTGCATTGTCTGGCCCAGACTCGACTATTTACAAGCAGATGTCATATAGCTGTAATATTGCTTAGTGTGGCATTGATAAAACTACGCTAGAGGTCATGACTGTATTGCATACTGATGTTCACTCTGTGGACATCTAATTGAAATATATGCAGATCATATACTTATTAAATACACTCAGTTAACATGTGATTACATAAATGATTTTAACGGTGTTTTAGAAGCGTTGTTTAGGTTGCCCCACCTCTTACCGTCGGTAAAACGAGGTTATGTGACACGGGAGATCCAGCAGTGTAACACACCATTAACTAGTAAACTAATGGTCCAGCAGTGTAACACCACATTTACTAGTAAACTAACGGTCCAGCAGTGTAACACCACATTAACTAGTAAACTAACGGTCCAGCAGTGTAACACCACATTAACTAGTAAACTAACGGTCCAACAGTGTAACACCACATTTACTAGTAAACTAAGGGTCCAGCAGTGTAACACCACATTAACTAGTAAACTAACGGTCCAACAGTGTAACACCACATTAACTAGTAAACTAACGGTCCAGCAGTGTAACACCACATTAACTAGTAAACTAACGGTCTAGCAGTGTAACACCACATTTACTAGTAAACTAACGGTCCAGCAGTGTAACACCACATTAACTAGTAAACTAACGGTCCAGCAGTGTAACACCACATTAACTAGTAAACTAACGGTCCAGCAGTGTAACACCACATTAACTAGTAAACTAACGGTCCAGCAGTGTAACACCACATTAACTAGTAAACTAACGGTCCAGCAGTGTAACACCACATTAACTAGTAAACTAACGGTCCAGCAGTGTAACACCACATTAACTAGTAAACTAACGGTCCAGCAGTGTAACACCACATTAACTAGTAAACTAACGGTCCAGCAGTGTAACACCACATTAACTAGTAAACCAACGGTCCAGCAGTGTAACACCACATTAACTAGTAAACTAACGGTCCAGCAGTGTAACACCACATTAACTAGTAAACTAACGGTCCAGCAGTGTAACACCACATTAACTAGTAAACCAACGGTCCAGCAGTGTAACACCACATTAACTAGTAAACTAACGGTCCAGCAGTGTAACACCACATTAACTAGGAAACTAACGGTCCAGCAGTGTAACACCACATTAACTAGTAAACCAACGGTCCAGCAGTGTAACACCACATTAACTAGTAAACTAACGGTCCAGCAGTGTAACACCACATTAACTAGTAAACTAACGGTCCAGCAGTGTAACACCACATTAACTAGTAAACTAACGGTCCAGCAGTGTAACACCACATTAACTAGTCAACTAACGGTCCAGCAGTGTAACACCACATTAACTAGGAAACTAACGGTCCAGCAGTGTAACACCACATTAACTAGTAAACCAACGGTCCAGCAGTGTAACACCACATTAACTAGTAAACTAACGGTCCAGCAGTGTAACACCACATTAACTAGTAAACTAACGGTCCAGCAGTGTAACACCACATTAACTAGTAAACCAACGGTCCAGCAGTGTAACACCACATTAACTAGTAAACTAACGGTCCAGCAGTGTAACACCACATTAACAAGTAAACCAACGGTCCAGCAGTGAAACACCACATTAACTAGTAAACCAACGGTCCAGCAGTGTAACACCACATTAACTAGTAAACTAACGGTCCAGCAGTGTAACACCACATTAACTAGTAAACTAACGGTCCAGCAGTGTAACACCACATTAACTAGTAAACTAACGGTCCAGCAGTGTAACACCACATTAACTAGTAAACTAACGGTCCAGCAGTGTAACACCACATTAACAAGTAAACCAACGGTCCAGCAGTGTAACACCACATTAACTAGTAAACCAACGGTCCAGCAGTGTAACACCACATTAACTAGTAAACCAACGGTCCAGCAGTGTAACACCACATTAACTAGTAAACCAACGGTCCAGCAGTGTAACACCACATTAACTAGTAAACTAACGGTCCAGCAGTGTAACACCACATTAACAAGTAAACCAACGGTCCAGCAGTGTAACACCACATTAACTAGTAAACCAACGGTCCAGCAGTGTAACACCACATTAACTAGTAAACCAACGGTCCAGCAGTGTAACACCACATTAACTAGTAAACCAACGGTCCAGCAGTGTAACACCACATTAACTAGTAAACTAACGGTCCAGCAGTGTAACACCACATTAACTAGTAAACTAACGGTCCAGCAGTGTAACACCACATTAACTAGTAAACCAACGGTCCAGCAGTGTAACACCACATTAACTAGTAAACTAACGGTCCAGCAGTGTAACACCACATTAACTAGTAAACTAACGGTATCAAGATGTAGGCATTGAGGATGATTTGTTTTGTTATCGCTTGTAAACTTTGTTGATTCATTACTTCATAAGTATTGTCACCTGGTACTGTTAAACTTGCCAACATTGCTGCGATACACATACTTCATTCAGTAAGTCACTTGTTGCCAAGTGGTATGGCTGGAGGGACGTCATCTTGGTATGCTGAACGGTAGGGGTGTTTGTTCCTGGATATAACACGGCACTGTGGAGACGCACTTCATCAGCACACCTCCTCATCTGTTAACATTATACAGGGTAATAAAAACAGCTACTAAACTGAAGATGTGGTGAAACATTGACGACCAAACAAGAACGTAACTGTTATCATTGCGGGGTGGTTATATTTAGCCACACACTGTGTTTTTCCTTATTTACCGTTAAGAGATGATGGTCCATTTTCTGGATTGATTTAGGGGGATAATGCCTATCATTGGTAGTTTCTGGTTTAAATATCTTGACATGCTTGAAAGCTTCACATAAAAGTCTGATTATCACCGTTCTTTATGTACATGCGGCAACAGTATAACATGAACACAAAATATATATTCATCTAATTAACATAACGGTAAACTATAACGGTAACTTCTCTAGTGGCGTACAGTAAAGGAGACAGATAATTATATTGTGTTTGTGCTTAGATTTATTAACCTCACCGAGTTTATGCCTGTTTCGTCTCTCTTGAATGAATTGGCAGCACATCAGGTCACGTGGTTGAAGTGTTTCCGCAGGCATTCCCGCAGGCATTCCCGCAGGTCCATGTTCTCTGTCTATGTCAGCGAGTATTGTACGTGCTCTGCCAAAACGCACTTCGACTTTGCCAGTTCGCAAGCACCTGTAACATATGTGATACGCATGGCCCTGGCTGCTGGGAGAAGTGGTCTGTTCAGGGAGGTTGTGTGGAATCATGCGTTTGGTGTGGCTTTTATTTCTACACGCAATATGGTCCTGTCTGCATGATACTGGTTTCAGCGTGTTATTGTTTACGGTATATATGTACATGTCACGATTTGAACCTTGCAACCCTTATCGGGCAGCTTTCATTGTATACTTCCAAGGGAGATGGGATAGTATGCGTGCTCACAATTATCATTGTTGTTGTTGTCATTGTTATTGTTGTTGTTGTTAGCGTTGCTATTATATAGATGTTAGGTTAGGTGAAATGGGGTTTAACGTCGTGTGGCTAATTGTACTAATCCGGACTGATGTCGAGTTTATAGTGCTAACACAGTGAGATACCATGCCACAGTTTAACATGAATACCCCACTCAGACACAGCACATAGACTCCGAGCCAACCAGACCTTGTTTTAGCCCCTTAATGCAGAGCGCCAGACAGGGTAACAACAAGTAACATCTTTAAACGTCTTTTGGTATGACGCGGCCGGGGATCGAACCCCGGACCTTCTCCGGGCGGACGCTCTCTCCACTCGCCACTAGACCACGGACGCGTTCCTTTTATAGTGATTTACACAGATGTATTAAACCAGAAAATATAGTTAGTGAGATGTAACCATGCCCAACTGGTATTAGTAAAATATATTACATCACAATGCACACGAACGCGGGGCAGTGTGGTAGCTTAGTGGTTAAAGCGTTCGCGCGTCTCATCGAAGGCCCGGGTTCGATTTCCCCCAACGTGTAAAATATGAAGCCCATTTCTGGTTCCCTCGCCCTGATATTGCTGGACTATTGATAAATGGGGCGTACAACCATACTCACTCATTCGCTCATTGACCCACCATTCACTCACTCACTCACTCACTCACTCACGCCATTTAATCTGGCAGATTATAATCCTTTATACTTGCAATTAATGTCAGCTTTACAGCTTTTATAATGGTATAATGTTCTGTTTTACTGTGGAAGCTGAAGATGAATGTTCCTCACACTAAGTAAAGCCCGTTTGGAGCTGCAAAATATAATTTGACCACCATGTCAAATAGAGATTACATATCGTATATTCATAAACTGAAGACCCCTCAGACACTGACGTTCCTTAACATTGGAGTGCCCCTGCCACCCGACGGCTGTCACACAAAGTTCCCCCTATACTTCTACGGAATGCTCGTATTCAGCCCATATCGTGGTGTGAAGTATTCACCCCTTGCGTTAACGTCAACGTGTGCTTGTGCCGCCTCTCACTGTAAGCTTTTGTTGTATAAACACAAGTAAAGGTTATTGATACATAACCAAATTCTTCCTTCTATCTTATGCATCGCATCATCTCCTTTGCCATCAAATACACGTGTGAGAGAACCACCCCCACTCTCAAACCCCCAACCCCCTCACCCCACCCCCTACCTCCAACTCTGGTCCTTCACCGACACTTTGATGTCTTTGATGGTGCATGGTAAGGTGAGTTGCTATGTTGCGGAAGGAGGAGTCAGGTGCCCGTCTGTAGACTAAGAAGGAGGTCTTGCAATACTGGGTGTTGCCTTGTAACCTTCCATCTGCCTATCTGCTGATAATAAGGACCTTGTCCTTTAGTATACGTGCGTCTTCATACACACGGACCATTTATAACAGATTTGTCTGTTTGCATGTCCTTGTCTGAGGGGGATGAGTCGTGGATTGTTCACAGCCAATTACGCTAATGCCCTTTTATCCCTCAACAGAGTATTCATAAACATGTATACCAATGTGTCTGTTCAGTTCATAATTTACTTCATTAGTTGCACAGACTATAGACAAAGAATGATTTATTAACCCTTCTCTTTCCATTCACGATGGGAATAAACACAATGAATTAAGAACCTTCTGGTGCTATAGTCTTAGGTTTGTCCACACGATAGATTCGCACGATGGTTTCCCAAAAGTGAAAATGTGAAAAGGCACGAATTGGGATTTACCTCAAACATAATGCGGACACGCCGAGATATAATTGAAATACTATCCAAACCGGCGCTAATCCAACCCACTCTAGTTTCTATCAATTCCGTCTCCACAAATCAATTAACACAAAATATTGACCAAACAAAACCTTCCTTTCTTCACATCACAAGCGTGCTATCCCTTAACAGATCCATCATCTTTCACATGAGAATCTAGATAGGACATAATTTGGCCAATTGGGAAACATTTATTCCTAATGATAACTTAAGTGGGATAATCACGATGGACGGTCCGCCTCATCGCCATCAAACCAGGGAGGCAAGGACCAATTGGATTAAAATGTTACCTTCCAGGCGCCATGTGTACTATATATATAATTCAGCGGGTCACGGTGAGGTTGAATGTGGGTGCCCTGGGATGACTGAATGTTTCTTACTCTTATTGATTGATGCAATGTATTTCCATTCTGCCATACTATCAGTACAAGCCTCTGGGCACATATGGTGCGCGCTAGCAGGGTAAGCGGGATGGTGCTTCATGTGTACTCAATTAGCTTATGCTGAGGCTTAATGCTTTCTTTGTTTTCTTGGGATCGCCGTTTCAGGTTCAGTGGCCACATATTACCTGCTGATCTACTTGTACTTGATAGTCCCTGTCCGTCGTGACTGTATACATAAAGAAGATAGTTGATTAGTTGATGTGACATATGTGATTTGATGGGTGTGTCCACACGACTGGTAGCGCTAATATTACCAGATCCTCGTGCGTGTATAAAATCAGTCATGAAATATAAACATTATAGTAATAAGTCATTATAATGCGCCTCATATGCAATCACCAAGTGGTTGCCCGTGGCGATTAAACATGTAGGTAAAACTAAGGGAAGATATAGACCGTATTGAATTAATCCCAGTGTCAGGTCAAAACAATTCTACGAATTCTAATGTATATTGATCGAAGCAGGTGCGGATGCTGCTCAAACTTATTTCGCCATTATGTAACTCAGATGTGTATCACAGGCGAGATTAATCATTTGCAAGTTTTTTATATCGTGTATTAGCTTGTTATTACGGACTGTCGTCCATAACAAACTGTAAGTGAAAACCAGGTACAGTAAACTACGTTTATAACGAACACGCTTATAACGAACTGGGGGACATAACGAACTGGTTTTTTTGTGCCCGGTCATTAGCTGTATATATGCTTATAATGAACTTCGGTTATAACGAACTAAAATAAGCAATCCCATTGAGTTCGTTACAACAGTAGTAGTAGTATATATATATATGTTGTGATTATGATGGGGTAGAAGCAGTAGCCCAGCGGTTAAAGCGTTCGCTCGTCACGCCGGAGCCCCGGGTTCGATTCCGGGTTACAAGGCGAGAAGAGACTTAAATGGCTAGAAACGAGTGTTGCTTTTGCACAAGGAATAATCATGATCAGTTCGTGATCTATTCATGAAGATGATCAGGTGATTCGTCCAAAACATAACTTTCTGCTTCAGGTTCCAAGAATGCAAGTGGAAAGAAGGGTATGCCCTGGTTGCGCCTTTGTTACGTTCAATCATACTCCAAGCAACATGGTCGCTCTGTGAACTTTATCCAATTATTGCATGGTGATAAAGGAAGTGTTATTGCTAAAGGGCCTTGCATCCTGCTGGTCACAACGAATGCATGCTTTCTTCATCAACCGTGTCTTAAAACATGTGGTCGTTACGAGGTTTTTACGAAGTTACTGATAGTTTAATGCAAACTAGCAAGCTAGCATTATACGTGGAGTAATATGCACCCGTGAAGATCCGGGGTAGAACAGGTCTTCAGCAACCCATACTTGCCGTAACAGGTGACTATGCTTGTGGTAAGAGGCGACTAAAGGGATCGGGTGGTCAGGGTCGCTGACTTGGTTGATGCATGTAATCGATCCCTATTGCGTGGACCGATGGTCATGATGTCAATTACTGTGTTGTCTGGCCCAGACTCGATTATTTACAGACAAACGTCATATGGCTGGAATATTGCTGAGTGTGTCGTTAAACTACAAACAAACAAACAAACAAACATGGAGTAATAATGTAACATATATATACAGAAAAAGAGCTCAATTTACCAGAAATGATCCTGCGAATATCCTATTACTTTTAGGAACATATATTGTAATTAAAAGGTTATGGACAAATGTTAACAATATTATCTTTACCAGTTAGAGTTTGATTCAGCTAAGACTATATTATATTGTCACATGAGTTTTTTATATGTCTGAGCAACTTCACTAACTTCATCTTAATGCTTGAGTTTAAACTAAAAACCTACATGTTATTTCTTGTGTTGCTGAGTGTGTATGCTGGGTAATCATGTTGGTGTGTTCTCAATAACTGTATCATATTCTATGAACTGATCATATAACAGGTGTTAACGTTAATTACTAACACGCTATATTGCCACGAAACGGTATGTATGTTTTGTTTTTCAGCGATATATTATACACTGTAGCTTGCGAAATTGCAGTGTACTGTTTCTTAAGCATGGCGAATATGCAGTTATTTATAATAATACTGATTAAACACCTAATAGTTCACTAAACAGAATTACCTAGCAATTATGTTTTTTATAGATGGCTGTATGTATGTAAAGTGTTATTACATGGGGCAGGATACGCTCACATTTTCACCAACACCTGGTACCGTCACTATTTCATGGGGATCTACAAACACATGCTCATGATAAAGTCGGAATCGTGTATTCGACTCTGCCTTGAGGAGATATTTCTGATGAATATGGAAAGGGTTTTGTCGCTTTTGTTTATATTTTCTTATGTCTGAAGCATAATGCTATGACAACAATCAGATTTATCTGTCGTTTAACGATTTCCCCTTCGTCTGAACGCGCCTGGTATTGATTCTCGTCAACTACCATTGACTTGCTGATATGAAAGACTATTTTCATTTATTTTGGAGATTTATTTTTTATTGTCTGTGGGGTGGTGTGTGTGTGTGTGTATGTGTGTCTGTGGGGGTGGTGGCAGTGTTTGTGTGGGTGTGGGGGGTGGCAGTGTGGGGGTGGGTGGTTGGCAGTGGGTGTGGGGTGGGGGGGGGGGGGGGGTGGGGTGGCAGTGTGTGTGAGAGAGAGAGGGGATGGGGGTTCTTGCACGTTAATAGGCTTGGGTGTCACTGGATTGTCACGTGTTCTGCTGTGCGGTGCTAGGCAACCAAGAAACACTTTTACATACAAAATGTACGAGTGACGTGTGTTATGGGTAGAGCCGGACACGCTTACCCTTATTGCGAACACCTGGAGTTATCACTGATTTTCAGTTATCCATTCATATAATGGTCACCCCTATTTTGCCTTTAATAACCATTGGAATCTGTTTCGACTGATAATAGAGACTGACAATTCTCTGCAAGGCGTTGATGTTTTAAGTTCTTTTATTACTGGAGGTAGGCGATTTCTTGGTGTGGGTATGTGTGGGCATGGGTGGGTTATTTGTATTCTTCTGAGTGTCGTTGTTGAAAACAACCGACTGTCGTAAGTCTATCGATCATCTTAGCGCTAAGATCGCTTTGTACATCGGCACCCTGGTCTTTGTAGGGAAGTGGTAGGAACAGAAACAACGTCATGCTAAGATCTTCAGCATTAATTAACCGTGACTGGTCCTTGGGGATAGTTCTAGCATGATTGTATCGCACATACTTGTGCGAACACACCTGACATGACATGACCTATAATTGTGTAAATTGCATCAAGTGTGGCTGCTGCTGTGGAGCCTGTCTCCAGGCGGCGCTGTTGCTTCATCAGTGATACAGCTGCTGCTGGTAATTGCACCGCTAATACATAATCTGATATGTTTGGACATAGATGTTGCGATAAACCACGGGGTAATTTGTGAAGGTGTCTTGCGCGTTTTACAAGTTATTTCCAACTTGACACAGTGTGGTCGGCGCGTTATCAATACTGTATACCTACAGTTGTGTATATGGAGAAAATAGGAAAGAAAAGCACATTCACTTTCTTGATCTCTGTCTAGTATTGTACGTGCAGGTATTAAATACACTCGCGGTACGTGGGTTTTCGCACGTTGTCGCAGTATGTGAAATGGCAACGAGGGACACGTGTGTAAGGGAAATACACAATTTCGTCAGCGGATGCTGCACTCTGTATAACTATGTTCCTTCAAGGATGAGGTTAAATGTCTGTCGGGGTCATTGATTTACAATGTCATGAATTTGCATGTAAATAGTGGAAATATTACATATGTAAACCAGGGATAACAATATATCCCTTTTACACATTATTTTAGTTGAAATGTGTTTCGTTCAGCTTCATGATATTAATGTAAGATATATAATCAACGCCACTGTGATGGGATGCATAAGAAAAATTCGTGTAATCCCACAGTGGCGCAAGGGCGTTCAGAAGGTCACACCAGATGTACTTGGTAAGGGTCAGTGACCCACCATTTTAATATTCTTGGGCGAGGGAGGGGCCTGAGACTGTCGCTGTGAGTAGAGACAGGGTATTTGTGGTCATTTCAATACGTTCACGATGTCCAGCGGACAAGTTGTCTTTTTTTTTACTCAAAACAACCGAAACCACGCACACACTGACACACGCACACGCACGCACGCACGCAAGCACGCACGCACACACACACACACACGCACGCACGCACACACACACACACACACACACACACACACACACACACACGCACACACACACATACACATACACGCACGCACGCACGCACGCACGCACGAACACAAACATTTGATCAGATGGTTGGTGGTTGATCGTATGACATTCACTGGATTGTCTGGTCCTGACGTTTTTACAAAACACGGTGATACAGCTGGAATATTGCTGTATGCGGCGTAAAACAACATATAAACGTCACCCCTCCAACAAGCTACATCATCTACATTGTACTTGTGTTATCTATACTCACCGCCAAAAGAAACGCGAAACACAGAAACATTTAGAGAATTCGAAGTATGTACGTTAAGGAGAGATGTCTCCAATGTGTACCAATTAGTGATAAAACTAACAATCAGTCAACTGTTTCCACAGAGTGTCTTTATTCTTATCACGATGTGCTGCACGTGATTTTCAAACTTTACACGCTAATCCTGCACGAAACAAATGGTGCATCTGGAGTCATGGATCTGTGACGTCACATGTGATGCATTCATGAGCATCGGTTCACACAACATACAAGTATGTTCGTTTGTGCATCGAACCAATCTAAGATCTCTTGAATATGGGTAAGACTTCATATATTATGGTATTCGCGTTACTTTTGGCAGTGAGTATATATGCAGAATCATTTTTCTGCGAATATTGTGAAGTTTAACATTAAACATCAAAATACAATCAGACTTATCAAGTTCCTCTTTGTCGCATTAATCCACCATACTAACCTTTCAATGTTTAATATTCAGCTCACAGAATTCAAGTTTGTTCTATACCAGCATAGTAACCGTATAACACAATAGGGAACAACATCTTTTTTCGTCCAGCGTCCACATCAACAACATGCAGATGCTTCGCTTCCTTCAATCAATAATACGACAAAACCATTTCCACAATCATGAGAAATATCTTCTACAAAGTCCATTGTACGATTCCAACTATGCCATAAGCATGTGTTAACACCTCGCTATCACCGACTCCCAAACCACCAACCAGAGTTCATCTTACTCGAGATGTATTCAAGTCCTACAGTGTTATTGCTCTATAAACGCTTGACGTAACGTCAGCACATTAATTTCCTCGTTAAAAAGCTTATAAGATAGAAGATAGATGTTTGAGATTGCTATGACTGATAGCGTATACTTAGCCTTGCTCCAGGGCTGTACCTAAAGATAAGTCTATGGATGTGTAGTAACTCATTTCTTATAATAAGCAAGTCTAGATATGCGGACGCCAGCCTATTGTGGTGACAACTTGTTCTTTTTATTTATTTAATCTAGAAATTAGGTTTTGAAATAATAGTTATTGCCTTAGAGACTTGTGCAAGTCTACCGTATACTGTGTGTATGGTAGCCGTGTGAGCTACAGTACCTACTGAGGCATCGGGAATATGATAATTAACGCACTGAACAGTGCTTCTGTGAGACGACGTGTGTTTGTTCCATATCCTCTTTCCTATCTCCAGCCTGTCTTTGAGCGCCGTTATACACTAGACATTTCTGAAGTTCTCAAGACCTCAGTTTTCAAAGGAAATGAGTTTCCGTAATAAATATGTCAAACAGCTTTCTGTGCTAAAACTGCACTTAGTTGTTTATTTCACATTTCCCCGTGGGTCACACCTGTTAAGTAGGGTAAAGAGGTATTTTCTAAATATATATTTCACTTCATATACTCACACGCAAAAGAAACGCAAGTGGTGTTAAGCAAATGGGTAACAAACACGGTACCATAAATTGATACCAGTTTTAGCATGTAGTGAAGCCTGATGGTGTTATCAATATTTTTGGTTGCATTTTGGAAGCCCCGAGTAAAAACGCAACATGAAAAACGAATCACCAAAACG